ATTATATCCTCACCCTCATCTTCACCTTCAGCCTCCACAGATGTCTCTGAGGCTGATCAATGAAACCATGAGGTACTTACTGAGCGGGCTTTGAAAATTTTCTCTGAGCAATCATTGAACACCTAGAACAACCCTCCTCCCCAGAAGAAAACACTACAAAACAGGAACAACAAACTAATTCATTTTATGTATGTGGTCCTTCAGGTATTTCAAGAAGTGTCTGTGATTTGCTATCTCTCTGAGTAGTAGATTCCTAGTCCTTCGAAGATTTCATATATAGTGTATTCTTCTCCAAATGCTGATATTCTTGAAGCCATGAATCTAGGCATAGTCATCTTTGTGGTATCCAGAACACACTGTAGTGCTTCTGAAGTTGCATGAGCAGTCTGAAGTAAAGCATCACCAGAAAGGGTTTCTTTTTTGCTCTCTTTATTGACGTCTGTGATTTTGCTAAAACATCCATTGATGTCTTCACTTAAGAGCCCAAATACCAATCTTCCGATCTCCTCATCTTTAAATCAGCTTGATTTTTTATATGTTAAATATTAGTCTTTCTTTCATAATAATTCCACGATCAATTAGAAACTATCAGAGCATAAAATAAGTTGTATCAGACAGTACTAATTATACTTAAAAACACGGAGTTCAGATTTGTAATTTGAGGACTGTCACCTGTGGTTCTAACGTGCTCATTTTATACCTGTCAAACTCTGACCATCTTTCAAAGCCTGGCTCAAATGTTTTCTCCCTGTTTTTCTCCTTTGACAATAATGATCCTATCCTTTAATCACCCCTAACTGTTTCTGCTTGTGATGATATTTGTTACACTATTTCCTTTTATGTCTATTACCTCCTCAGGACTGTAAAATTTTGGAAAGCAAAAGCTGTCTCTTCCTTTCACTATGGTATTTTGTCTGACACAGAGCCTAATACTGTGTGTAGGAATAGGTGGGTTGGGGGTAAGAGAGAGACGGGGGCCTAGAAAGATAGGAAGATGACAGAGAAAAAAGATACAAGAATTAGAAGAAAGGGAAAGGAAGGATAGTCAGCCTTTTAAGCCCATGACAAATTAGATCATTTTTTCCCATTAAATGCTAACTTGTAAAATAAGGTAATAGACCATGCGAGTTATGTTTTCAAAGCACTTGGCACTAAATCCCGCTGTAATCCTCAAGACATATTCCCTCTTTTGCCATTTTTCTGCTTTGTTAGCCTTCACATTTTTGTGACGACCATTCATCTGGGAGGCTAAGGAAGTTTATAGCCATCATTCATTTATTCATTCATGAGCTGTAAAAAACCACAATTTTAGATAAAAATGCCATATCTTTGTCACATAAAGTGTCATTCCCCCATCTTGACATTTCAAGTGATTCGATTAAATGGATTTCACACCACTTAAAATTTAGGAAAAGAGAAACGTACAGTATGTACAAATTGTTATTTTTAAAATCCTTTCCATTCAGCATCCAAATGGCTTCAATTGTTTCTTTAAACAAATAATTTCTTGGGTTTTTTTCTGAGTATAATGATTAAGTCTACTCTAAGAAACTCCATTATACTAAGTCAGGAAGATAGACAATAAAACAAGTAGAATTGTTTCTTTCTCAGCAAATTTGACCATGCCTCCTTCCATCCCAAAGTGCGGATTATACTTTGAGAAAGAAAGTATTTTTTTTTCCCAAAAAATAAACACAGAAAGGACTAAAGGGTCAAATTTTCATCACCTTGCCTCTTGGCAATAGATACATATTTCATGGTAAAGTTAGTATATGAGTGCTCCAGGCCAGCTCCAGGCAACCCTCTGAAGCAGATAAAGTTTGCACTTTCTGTATTCCCACCTCGCCTTTATGGACCCTTCTCTCTTGGAGCAGGTCTACTCTGCCTCTCCTCCAGGAGACTATTTTTTCCTTGCTTCTTGCTGAGGCTTGTCTTCTGTGATCTGTCAGGTACACAGACATTTTCTGATTATCCTCACAAAGTGTTTAAAAATGAATGGCAAATCTGGCATACTAACATACAATCAATTTTCATTATTTGTAGTAGTTATGGTCTATAAATTCACTGTTAATACTAAATTAACAAATACCGATCCATTGCTCCTAGGGGAAATATAGACCTAGGTTACTTGAACTTCTGGTCACATTTTGATCAACTAATCAACTAATCAAACTATGTGGGTTTGTATTTAAAGACACCTTATTTAATATGTATCGTTGATTAGTTAACATTGCATTAATGGCCAGCAGCAGTAACTCATACTTGAACAGAGTTTATCTAACCTGCATGTTTCTCTGTAAGGCACATCACAGCCTTCTTGCACTTGGGGACACTAGATGACACTTCACTACATTTGGGGGACATTTTAAAGAAATCGCCAAGAAAAGGCAAAAACAAAAACAAACAAACAAAAAAAGCACTAAATAAACCATAAAAAAGCCTCTTGATTACAGTATGAACACAAACAAGAGCGTAGAGCATGGTGCTGTTTCACCTTAGCTGGGAACATGTATGTTGGGTGAATCAATCTTTTACCCTCAAGCATGTCCAGAAATAACTACAAAAGCACCATGAACATGATTTTTGGGATTACAAATAAATTTTAGGTAGTAGGAAAATTCACAAATAAGGAATCTGCAAATAATGAGGATCAAGTGTATATCTAGGACACAAAGAGTTAAACGTGTAGTGTTGAAAATTAAGATAAGCAGGTGAGGTAGAAGGTGGTAATATCTTGGTTTCAGGAGATCTGTATTCAACAAAACAGTAATTGCTTCTCATAAGATGACCCTGAGAGACCTGCAGTGATATCTATACACTAATCTTTTGTAATCAGAACTCATTAATTTGATTGTGTATGATACTTTTGAAAGTAGGGCAAGGAAATGATAGAGCCTGGGACAGGTTTCATATAAAGGTATATAAACTATGTACCAAGGTATCCTGGAACATTACAAGATATTTAAAACAAATCCAGGATAACATATAGATGTCTCTTAGATTCTACATGAAATATTAGCTAAAGATAGTTCACAATTTAAGCATTAGGTTGTAACATATCTTTCGATAGCATATATCTGTGAGGCTGGGTTTGTGATGATTACTGGCATAAAAAGCAGTCTCAAGATTCAACAAGTGTACTTTTGGATTCCAAGATTTGAAAAGTAGTATAGTGTACAACAGATACTAAGTTATTAGGTCACAAGAATGCATTAAGTTAATTGGACTAAACTGCTAACTCAAAAAAACTTTAGGGTTTTTTGTTTGTTTTGATTTTTTAAAGCCTAGAGGCACCATGAAAAGAATTACTGGGACCATGAGGGTATTGTGAAGCAGTCAAGTTTAGAATCTATAGCTTAACTATTTTTGGGTCACCAGCATGCTATCAGTTTCCTTGTTTGTGAATGGTGACAAATATTACCACAGCTATAAAGGACTACCATAGACCTGGTTCTTAGTAGGTTTCCAAGAAATACTTCTTTCCCTCATTCTGTTGAGATTAAGTTTATCTTTATATAATCAATTAATGAAAGAATTTATAAACAAGTCAACAATATGATCAAAACTGCAAAGATTGTACTTTTACTTGTCATAGCTAGAAAATAAAGGATTGAAAAGACTTTTGATGCTACTTATGTGACAAAATATATTTACTTATTACAGGTTGTTATTTTCCAGTTAATCAACATGGCCTTCTAAGATCCCTAGTTCTGTTTTCTTAACTAATTACAAATAATTCAATATGATTTATTTTTAATTGGTAATTCAATGTTGGTCATTCGTCAAATATTTGCTGAAAGCTTACTGGATGCCCACACTGTTGGAACCTCCCTAAATAAAGAGGTGAACAAAGTAGACAAAACTCCCTAGTAACTATAATGGCAAACATTATGCCATGGAGAAAAACAAGGCGATGTAAAGGGGACAGAGTTCAGGGTGACATGGATTTTATGAAGGATGGTGACTGATCGGGCACCATTTGAAAAAAGACTTGGAGAAGGAGGAGGAAACAAGCCTTAAAGGTATTTTGTGGGAGCGTGCTTTGTGCAGAGGGAACGGCAAGTGCAAGGGCTGAAGGTGGGAGTGGGCTAGAGGGACTAAGGACCATGTTGAATGAGATGGGAGTCATTGGAGGGTTCTGAGCAGGGGAATAGCATGATCTAACTTAGATGTTATGGGGACCACCTGGCTATGCTTGTGAGAGTAGGATGTTTGGGGCAAGGGCAGAAGCAAGGAAATCGGACAGGAGCCTCCAGAGTAATCCAGGCTAGAGATGCTGGTGGCCAGTCACTCCTAACTAGGGAAATTTTTCTTTTTCCTTAATATCGCCTTAGATCTCTAATTATATTTTCTAGTCTTCAACCCACTCCAGTGGTATAGAACTCTGCTGGAAAATCCTTCCTCATGAGTCACCCAAACTCTCCTGCCAACCTATCTTCTTATCCTTCTCCCAGTGAAACTCACATATATTTGAACCTTTTTTCCAAATGGTCCTTATTACATTTTACCAATATTTCTAGGTGGAATGACTGTGAATTCAACATTTTCTCATCTTGCTTCTCTATAGAGGTTGTTGTAGGGGAGATTGAGCAACAGGGGCAGGTGGATTGTTCCTGTTTTATGACTGATATGTAGTGTGACTCTGGACAAATCACAAGATCTTCTGGGGCCTCTGTAATAGACACACATTTATCTCATAGATTCTTTTTTATTTTATTTTATTATTATTTTTTTTATTTATTATTCCAGGGTTTTGTGAGGGTACAAACATTATAGTTACACTTTATGTCTTTGCCTCACCCAAATGCAGGTTAAAGGCATGCCTTTCCCTCCCTTTAGTGTTCCCCATGTCCTTTAGTTGTAGATTTGCCCCCCCATCCCCCTAATCCCTAGAGGCTAAATACTTTACAGGTTTTTGGTTTTTTTGTTTGTTTGTTTGTTTTGAGACAAGGTCTTGCTCTGTTGCCCAGGCTAGAGTGTAGTGGTGTCATCCTAGCTCCCTGCAACCTCAAACTCCTGGGCAATTTTGCAATTTTCTTGCCTCAGTAGAAGCTAAGTGTGCCATTTTACATATAAGACTAACTTTCACAACCTAACTGTTCAATATTAATAGTAGTAGAACAAGGAAATTAAGAATAGACCCAGAGTAGTTTCTGTCTGTTGAAAGAAGACCCTCTCTCTGAGCCCATAGACAGAACTGAGGCTTCACCCTCAGTCTCCAGCCTCCAAGTGCAGTGAGCTACACCTTTCGTTTATTCTTTTAACTTATAGCACTAATAATACAAGTCTTATCTCCCTAGGCCCGTTTGCAGACCCTCTACAATTATCCTTGTCTCCTTTAATTTATGGAGGTCCTTGACCAACTGAAAAATAACACTCACGCCTTTAAAAATGAGTAATTCAAAAAATAACAGCATGAGTAGGAGACACATTTACATGCAATTAGCAAACTGCACATGCACCGAACTATTTATACGGGCTGGCTTGGATGGGTTTGCTGCATGTTTAAGGCGCATGGAAATATTTTAAGCTCGTCTACTTGTCTGGGGGTATTGTGATGGTAAAAAGCATGAGCTCTGAAACCCTCAACTGGTTCCCCACTTCCACCACTTGCTAGGTGTGACACCTTGGAAAATTTACTCAACTCAGCCTGTTCATACATTTATAAAATATGGATTGTAATTATTGCATGAGCATATTGTAAGGATCAAAACCTTTAGCTGAATGCCTATCTCACAATGGGGGGTAAACAATGATTGCTATTATTATGCTGCTGTTGTTATTAGGTGTTAGGTTTTACTGTTAAGCACAGCAATTATCAATATCATTTATGAATTTAGTTTATTTTTATACTTTGCAGAACATTTTCCTATACATCTGAGCTTAGGGGTCCTGTGGGGCACACAGGGCAAACGGCAATTATAACCTCCATTTTATCAGCACGGAGACACAGAAGCAGTGAAACTAAGTGACTGACCAAAAGCATATAGCTTGGGAGTGGCAGAGTTAGGCCAAAAATATCAGGTCCCCTGAGTTCACATCCAGGTTATTATTTTTTCATTTTAAAATTTTTCTTTATTTTGGTTCTTGGGCTATTGTCACTGGAATAAAAGCTCATCATTATCAGCCTTATGCTGCAAGGTTGAGTTTTTCATTGACTTATCTACGAAATGCACAGATCACTGAAATGTTTGGACACAGTACTGCAGGTACTGTCATATTCTGCTTATTTCTGTTGAGTGAGATTTTCCATTCTGCTTTCTTTCTCCTTTTCAAGAACTAATGATGAAAAGTGCTTTTAATCTTGTCATCTCATCTGTCAGCAGAATTTACCAACTTGCTATAATTGTTACACAATACACTCCAGAAGAGTGAGGAATGATCAGAGAATATTATCTCTGTCCACAATAAAAATACAATCAGTTATTTGAACCAGGTTCTGCCTACCCCACCCCTGCTTTAGTTAATAAAATTTGGGAACAAAAGCTCTTTCTTCTCCCATTCTTTTAATATTTCTATGAAAGAAAATTGAACGTCTATAGATGACTGACCGAATGTTAATAAGATTGATGGTGAGGGAGGAGGAAAAACAAAAGTGAATGCCAAAGCTTGGAAAATTACTAGGCATAATGTGATATTGGCATGAAGGACCCCATTTTATGCCTGTCTGACTAATCTCAAGGCTTCATCAATAACCACACCTGATTAATTACACTGAGGTAGCCAAAGAAATCAGCAGAATAAAAATTCACCCTTTTGGATGGAGAATGAGCAACTGCATCATCATCAGTACTGCTTGTGATCTGTTCTGTTCTTTTGAAAGCTAGAGCCTTGGGAAGTGGTCCTACTATATGCCAAAGGGCAGTTTGTGGATGACCGTCACTTTCAGGCTAACAACAATTAAGCTGAGAATCTCACACTGATGCACTCTTTTACTTTTGTTCACCATCCTCACCACCTCCTGAGTTTATTCTCTTAGAATTAACACCACATGATAGTTTAGAGTACATATTTCAAACTGCCTGACTTAGAAATCCTTGAGCAAGGTATTACCTCTCATGCCTCAGTTTCTCTACCTAGAAAACAGAGAAAATAGTGTCTATGTCATAGAAGTGTTAAGAAATCTGCATGAGCTAGTAGTGCATGTCAAGCACTTAGAGAAAACTATGACAAAAGTGTGACAAGCACTCAATGCATATTATCTATTATTATTGCCATTAAAGGTGGAAAGGTTTTTTTATTCCTGAGATTATGGATTCATTCTCATCTCTTCCCCAGCGCTGACTTTATTGATTGGAAAGGATATCGATCTAACTCTACTTTTAAGCAACTTTATAGCTCCAGTTCTTTCTTAATGTGTAATGTGGAAAAAAAAAAGAAAAAAAAAACAACTACTACAACCACAACAACAAATGAATAAAGAGCAGTGTGTTTGGAGTCAGACACACTTGGGTGTTTAGGTCTAGATTCTGGTTCTGTTACTATTTCAGGAAATGAGGCACATCGCTTTCTTTGAACTTCGGTTTTCTCATCTCTAAATAGATCCCTATTTCACTGTGCTAGTCTGAGCTAAATTGATATTATATTTGAAAAAGATAATACATAAATGGGTATGTAGTAACTGGTAGCCTCACTTTAAAAACTACTTGAATTGATTTAAACATTTTAAATAATAATGATGGCAAACATTTAAAAAGTGCCTACTATGTGCTACATAGTCTATACAGAATATATTACTTAATTTTCACAACATGGAGGTAGCTACTGTTATCAACACCAATTCACAGAAGAAGACATCAAAACTAAGAGAGGTAAGACAATTCGTTCATGATCACACAGGGTCTCATATTCAGGCAGTCGTGACTGTAGAGTATATGCTTGTGATCTTTACACCTTATAGATTAGTGACCAAATCAGATATTTCATCAGGTCTAGCCACTGGCCTGCAGATGATCAGTCTTTTTGTTTATAGGGCAAAAGACACATTACAGAAAAAGTATAGGTGTTACTTTCGTTGTTGGTAGTTATTTTCTGTCACTAGATTTAGATGGATGGAAATAACACACAAATATAATTTTTCTTAAAATTACCATATCACATCAAGAGTTAAAATCGGACTTGCCACACCCGCAGGAGAAAATAATAAAATGTATTTTTTTAGAAAAAGTAAATTAGGGCAACTTGATTTTTCTGACTCCATTCCAGCCAATACCCACCCACACAGCTAATCCTACGTGTAAGATGCTATAAGCCTTGTTTCCCGGGGGTTCTTTAGCCTTTGCAATGAAGAAGCATGTGGAGGGATGGGAGTGAAGGTTAGCAATTTAAAATATGCTGATTTTTCTATCTTTATCTTTAGACTCCAGAAGAACTAGAGGATGATTCTGACTTCGAGCAGGAAGATTATGATGTGCGCAGCCGGACAAGTGTTCAGACTGAGGACGACCAGCTCATTGCAGGGCAGAGTGCACGGGTGAGTGGACATCTAGGACTGTGGTTTAGTGCACAGGGGTTGTGTTTCCCAAAATGGTTTGAGGGAATTTCTGAATTCTACAGACCTGGGACCCCAGAGATTCATGACTCAGAAATATGTGCTCTCATCTGGGGTTGTTTATTAATAATTCACGTTTTACACAGTGGAAATAACCACCACTGCTCCTGATTCCACCTAACCCCCATCTTTATCTAATATTTAAATCATAGCAGCCACATCAAAGCAAACCCTTACGTGTATAACTGATTTTGTTGGGGGTGGGATTTTAATTAGACTATAAACAGGGATGCTGTAATACTCAAGTTTTGCTTTGGCACAGTCACTCGGTCACCACTGTTCTGCTTGAAGACTCTAAGCTTGTTAACATAAGAGGCGATGACAAATGGGAAATCAGGGTCCTACTTTGTTAATGGCTGGACTATTGCTCCATACTCTGGCCTAGCTTCTTATGATATTCAATATCACAATATCTTGTGAAATTGGTTTAAGGCCATCAAGTAGAGAGATAGCTTTTGGTTTCCTGCTGATACCTAATTTTGGCAGGGCAGTAACCCTGAATCTGTCTTCCATGTGATAGAAAAAGAAATCACAGAGACGTACTAGAAATATACCAGTGTAAGGAATGGAGCAGAAAGCAACAGAGAGGACATCAGCTCTGCCTGACATTTGAGTATTCCATGACACTGTTGACCAACACAGTAGTCCAAAGAGCGTTCTGGAATTGGACCAATCTGATTAGCTATATCACCCAGAGGTGATGATCAAGTCAGGTGGTAAGAGATTAAATCTTTAGGGATTACATTAATATTTTCCTCTTTTTTAAAGGCTCGGTTTCCATGGAACAAAAACAATCAAGTTATAGCATAACTGATAATTAGATATTCTAATTTTCTATGTTAAGTTTTACTTAAAAGATAAGGAATAGGAAGCAGGATGTTGAAAAAGAGGTGGTAATTTAGGTTGAGGATTGGAAAACCCAAGAAAGCTCATACTGCCTTAGGAATTTTGAAAGAACAGTAGAGAATAACTAATCAGAGATTAAATTAAAGAGGACTTGAAGGAGATATTGAGTCAAAAAAGACCTTGTACCTAAAACTCAGTTTCACATATGTGCTTTATGTCCTGATATTCTCACCCAACAATCAAATGATCCAGAAGGGGTATAAATAGACATTGATAGGAGAAATGTGAAGGCAAAGTCAGAACATCAAAGACACATTGGCTTTGATTTCAGACAGACTTGGTTTCAAATTGTTAAGGGCAGAGTGAGGACCATTCTCAAAGCTACATGTTGCTTAATTTCTGAGAGTTTCAGACACATCACCTGTAAAGTGTGAATAATAGACTGACTTGATAGGATTCCTTTGAAGGTATAATTACTTAATACCTATAAAATAATGGGCACGATATCTGCCATACACTAAGTGCTCAATGAAGATGTCTGTGGTAATTATCCTTTGGAAGAGAAACCCCTTCTGATCAAGTGATGGTGACAGTAGAAAAGTACATAAAAGGTCACGGAGCCCCATTACTTCAAAAATTCCTTGCAGATGCTATTTAATCCCCCCTGAAATGTTGAAAATTGGAAAGGTCAGTTAGCTGAGAATATTTTGAGGCTGTGTTGGCATAATACCAAACTAATTAAACAAGTCAATTCATCTTCAAAATTAAGTAAAACCAGCATTTTTATGTCACTAACAAAGGACAAGTTTGAATAATTCTTGCAAACATTAAGCAATTCAGAGTCAATTTGATTGACTGTAACTCAGTATAGATACAGCCCAGTGTCCACTGACTAGTTTTCTCAAGGACTCAAGACCATTATACAACCTTTAGCTTGCTTTATAAGCACCATCCTGTCAAAATGGCATAGTCCCACTTTTCACAGGGAAACATAGAGTCCCAGTGTACTTCTGTTTCATGCATCTTACTTACATTAGATATCAAGTCAATGATGATGGATAGAGATAAAACTCAGATGGCTCCTTTCCTTATCTATTATTTCTTCATGCCATTGTTTTTTTTTTTTTTTGGAGGTTTTTTCAGTATGAATTATGAATGTGATCCAAGATAGTAAGAACAAAGTACTCCTATAATCCAGCACTTGCTAATTTGTCTTTGAGGTCCATCATGTGGTCTGTGTGATTAACTTGCAGCAGACAGCGTTACTTATTGAGTCAGCCTATTTTAGCCTGTAATTATATGATGACAAATCAGAGATACAGAATTATGGCTGTTAAGTTGGAAATAAGAGGGTGCATTGAATTGCTCAGATGATAGATAGTCGAACTTTTGACCAGCAAAGTGTAATAAGTTGGTCAAAATTGTGAAGAAGGTGAATGTTGTTTTTGACTGAGGCACTTGCTCTTCCTAGCAACTGGTCCTGCCCTCTTCATGGTATTATTTTGTGTTTTCATTCAAAGAAATTCTTCCTCTCTGAAAATGGTAAATTAATCTAAAAGGAGGTTAAAGTTGGGAGATAAGCTTTTAGTAGCCCCCTCCAACACTGCTCTCAAAGTCAGGAATTACAGTATCTATTTATTTCCTTTATATGTCTCTGCCTGCTGCATATCTACAACATTTTGGGGGCGATGGAGAGGGGGAGGGGAATGGAATTGGGTAAGGATGGTGGTGATCTGATAAAATAAGGAGGTGATCTTACCCTTTGATCCTAACAGGACATCTTTTAAACTGTTTCTTCACAGGTTGACGTAATTAACATTGGTCAGTGACAACTCTCAGGCACTTAACCTTGGCAATGGAATATACCATTTGGAGTCACACAGACCTGATTTTAAATACGGGCTCCATGAAGCTGTGTGACTTTGGGGCAGTTTTCTTAACCTCTCCATGCCTCATCTACTTGTATCTTTAAGAGTGACACACACAACTTCCTTCCTGATAATGTCATTAGGAGAATGGCATGATAAAATGTATCACAGGATTTCTCATAACTATGTAATGAATAAGTTGGTGATGAAGATGGTGACATTGCTTGTAGTCTGAGCTAATTATTCACTAGAGGCTGGCCAAATAATTTCACCTGAAAGAGGTGGATAATTCAGACAATCATGAGAGTTTTTTATTTAAATTAATGGGACAATTACCTCAATTTGCCCATTCATGTCACAGCCTGAGACTGGAAAAAGCCAAAGGACCCACATTTCTTAGCTACTTATATTTATTATCCTATTTTAAAACCAAGTGAGTAGAAACAGGCACATTGAGTCTTAGCCCCTTTAATCATTGTTTATAAACATTTCTTATACTTGATGCCTTAATGTTAGACTCCTGTTGTATGCTTAAGAAATGATCTCTTGTCAATTTGGATGCCCATGGACTTTAAAAGTCATTTTTATCCTACAGATTGGGAAAGTAATTATGTCAAAAGCTCCTTGAGATTTAGGTGGAAGAAAACATGCTGGGCTATTTGAATGATTGTTGGCTTGTACGAGTGAGATGCACTTCTTAATAGGTAGAGATTACAATATTAATCCCCCCAAATGGTTGGCTATTCTAGGGAAATCTGGAAGGAACTTTGGGGTAGGGGAAAGAATCCTTATAGATACCACCAATTTGAGACACCAGATCAATAATGGAGAAATGCTCAGTGACTGTGTAAGAAGCATCAGAAATTCTCAAACTGCCCCAGGTGGTCACATCACACAAACAGAAGAGCTGATGTGTCCCCTTTCCTCTTAGCCATGAAAATAATTTTTCTCATGTTCCCTTAGTTTGGGGGAATGGACAATTGTATGTTATGTGTTTTGTATGAAGTTTAATTTCAGTGTAGCTGGCCTGTTTTCTTTTCTAGCTAGAACGGCTTTAATGTGTTAACATTTCAAACTGCTGAGTTACATTGATAAGACCTAATTAAAACTCATGTGTTGAATTTCAATTTGATTAACTTGCAAATTTCGCAGTTTGTGATCTACTGTTTATAGATAACCTTTTTTTAAATTCCACTTTCAGAAAAGGTCAATTATGAATTTTTAAAAGCAGGAGTATTTTACGAATATTTAGGAAAAGACTTAAGGCTCATTGATAGCTACCTAAGCAGAAGCAAATTTAACGATACTTGTATCCAAGTCACACACCATTAAGTGTATTATGCAGGTCAAGCAACCCTAGTGTCAAAATAATATCTTTTTTCTTTTTGCAAATCTGCTTTGAAGGGGTCCATTTTTCTTCAGAATTGTGTCCTTAGAACATGTTTGTAAGTTCTAGCAACCTCTTTTGAATTATATTAATGCAGTAAGTGGGACAAATGTTCAAGCAGTCAAAACATTTATTGAGCTTCTACTCTGTGCAGGATATGGAGGCCTCCACCCTAAAGAAGCACATGGAGAAGTCAGAGGTGGGACATTAATAGGAATTAATTAGAAAGCAAAACAAAACAGTTAATATTCAAGTGCTAAGTTGTACAATGGAAATTCAAGCGCTATGGTTGACAGAAGTGCACACCCTTCAATGCACAAGTTAACATTTTGGAATGATGAAATAAAATATGTATTGTGTTCCACATGAGGATTGAATGTAGAGCCTGGAAGTCTGCTGAGAGTTTTACAGATTCTTTTACAGAGGAGCACCTAGTGAATGCTTTAAATGACGCTGGTTTAGGACCTGTGAGGTCTAAGTAAAACATGATTAGCTCTTTTGTATAAGAAGGACAATGAATCTAGGACAGCATTAGGTCATCAGACAGGGATGCTTTAGAGAAAAAAAAAAAGTACATATTTAATTTCTGCAAATCCAACCCTATCTCAAATGCAATGGAAGAGCTTCCTTGTTGTTATACACTGTCATAATACAGTATAGAATATGTGTGTTTATAATAAATTCTTATATATTAAGTACATTTTTAAATACAGTTTTGAAAGTACTTTAAAAATATATTTCAATATATA